GGAGGGGCAGCAGGCACGGGGAGGGGGCAGCAGGCAAGGGGAGGGGCAGCAGGCAGGGGGAGGGGGCAGCAGGCACGGGGAGGGGCAGCAGGCACGGGGAGGGGCAGCAGGCACAGGGAGAGAGCTGCCCTCTCGCCACCACCATGTCCCAGGACGGCGGGGGCCGCACCTGGAGTCCCAACCATTGGTCCCCAAGCCTGCAGCAGGCACCCTGCAGAGACAGAGGCCAGGCACGGCGTCACAGCATCGCAGCCACCACACGACAGACACGAGGCCCCAGGTGCTCACCACTCAGGAGCAGCTTGAGCTGCTTGTCGTAGAACTCGGCCTCCCGGTGGGACACCAGGGCGCACTCAGCGCACTGCCGCACGGGGTCCACGAAGCACATGCGCCGCAGCGCCACCTTCTGGCTGCAGCACTTGTCGCAGAAGCACTTCCCACACCGGCGACAGTGGTGCTGCAGACGCGGGGCAGGCAGTGAGGACCCCCGGAGACCCACGCCACCGGCATCCACGACCAGATGCCTCGAGGGTCCCAACGGTTTCCCAGCGGCCGGAACCCTGCCTGCTGACCAGGCTGCCACTGTCCCCGAGGCTCCGCGACAGACAGCGCCCACTCCCACCCCCCACGCCCCCTCCCGCCCCACCGCAGCTCACCTTCCTGGTGAGAAAGTCAAACTTGGTGTCGCACTGCATGCACCTCGGGCACTAGGAGAGAAGGTGACAGGGCGTCAGGACCCGGCTGCCAAGGCCACGTGGTCAGCTCCTCAGGGAGCCCCGTCCTGTCACCGGAACCCAGGATTGGCTGTGAGATGATGCGATGCCACAGCAGAAAGTGATCTACACCGGGTCCCCGCGCGGAGAAGCGCAGTGGGTCTGCTGAGCTGGGGCAGCGTCTAGCTAGCAAGGGTGCTACCAGCCCCAAATGCCCGGGGCTCAGCGGGGAGGTTGGGGACAGTGCTCCAGGGACAGGCCGAGGTCCAGGGCCCGAAACGGCCACATTATCACCAAACCAACCAACCACGCAGAGGACCTCAGACCTCTTATCTGACAAAGCGAGAGTTTTTTCCCATCCTGGCACCAAGTGCGGACAGACTGTCCCCGCACCGCCAAGGCTCAGCCTCCACGGTGGAAAAGCTGCTCCTGGACACATGTGCCACCTCACCCCAATGACACGGTGACAGTAAAATGCCACTGTCAGGGAGCCAGACACCCTGACCACCACGCAACCCGAACCCGGCCAGTCCCCAGTCAGTCCTGGCCAACACGGCCTGACCCCAGTGTCCTGCCCTTCGTCCTCACTGCCTGGCTTCAATCTGGGCAGCCAGAACCCACTTGCCGCCCAGGCTTTGTTCCCCATCCTCCCCGTTCTGCCAACGCAGTGCTTGACCTTGACCCCTGCTCTGCACCCCTCCCGCCCCCAGGCCTGCGCCTGCAGCCGGGTCTGTTGCTCTGAGGAAAGGCACAGCAGGTGCCAGGGCCCACCATGGGGCCGGGACCCTGAGGAAGCTTATGGAAGGAGCCTGGCATCCACACGCAGTGTGCCCTTCTCCGTGGGAGGGCAGGCATCCAGGCCGGCCCCGAGCCCACCCAGCTCTACGTGGCCACGGCCCCACCCTGGGCTGGTGTCTAAGCGTTCTGAGATCCTGTGATTGATGTTTCCTTATTTTCTCTTTGCTCTTACGCTGCTTTCTGGGCTGGGACACAGGGCCTGGCCCATCTTGGCTCTCCAGAACCATCCACAGAGTCCCTGTCGGCTTCTGGCATGAGCTGGCTAATCACAGCGCAGCTGCTTCCACCAGTCCCTGCCATTGCCTCTCACTGTCAGTTCTGGAATGTTCCGTGTGTTTGGCCCTTGGGCCTCCACCCATGGCAGAGCATCTGTGTGCCACGCTCTCCTGTGACCTCACACATCTGCCAGCCACAGAATCCACTGGATGTGGGGAAAGCCGGCTGGACCACCAGCGTCAGGCCAGGCTCCAGTGCGAGAGCTGCCTCCCGAGTCCATGCGCGTCCTGCACCCACGGCTGGGACACGGAGCCCAGGGCTGCCCCACCCTCGCCGGGAGGCTCGCATCTACACAACTGAGAGACCAATTTCTAAACTAAGACCACAGCAGAATTTAACATTTGCTCCCGGGGCTTCCTTGGTGGTGCAGTGGCTAAGAATCCACCTGCCAATGCAGGGGATGAGGGTTTGAGCCCTGGTCTAGGAAGATCCCACATGCTGCGGAGCAACTAAGCCCGTGTGCCACAAATACTGAGCCTGTGCTCCAGAGCCCGTGAGCCACAACTACTGACTGCACGTGTCACAACTACTGAGCCCGTGCACCACAACTACTGAGCTCACGTGCCACAACTACTGAGCTCACATGCCACAACTACTGAGTCTGAGCTCTAGAGCCCATGAGCCACAACTACTGAGCCCACATGCCACAACTACTGAGCCCACACGCCACAACTACTGAGCCCACACGCCACAACTACTGAGCCCACACGCCACAACTACTGAGCCTGCATGCCACAACTACTGAAGCCTGCGTGCCTAGAGCCCGTGCTCTGCAACAAGAAGCCACCATAATGAGAAGCCTACGCACTGCAACGAAGAGCAGCCCTTGCTCGCCGCAACTAGAGAAAGACCGCACGCAGCAACGAAGATCCAATGCAGCCAAAAATAAATAAATAAAATAAATAAATTTTTTAAATAAATAAAATTCACTCCCTTAAAAACATTAGTGATCTAGAAGTTTTGTATTAGTCTAAATAACCAACGAGGTTATTCAGAAAACTTACAGGCTTTAAATAAAGTAAGTTTCCTGTGGATTATATAAAAGAAGCTTTTAAAGTTATCAAGAGAACAATTTGGTATGAAAACAGAAGTAAATAAGGAAATAAAGCAACTGGTGAAGATATGAGAGTAAAATTACCACCAAAGAACTCACACCTTGTCTGATAAACCAGCTGCATCGAAAGGAAACGAAAAGCCCAGGCCGAGCCCCGTGCACCTGACCTGGACCCAGAGGCTCTGGGGTTCTGGGAAACCACTGTCTAGGGAGACGGAGTCCAGAAACCAGGTGTGAGCAACCCACCTGCACCATGTGTGACAAAAGCTGCCTGGGTTCCAGCCTCCCGGACTACGTCGCACCCAGGCCTGTGTCACCGCGGCATCACTAGGGTGGGCTGGGGCTGGCATCACAGACAGGCACACTTGTAAGGGAGAACCGGGACCCACAGGAGCTCAGTGAGGGCCCTGCGTGTGAGGTGCAGGTTAAGGCACAAACACACACAGCACATGCAGACAGGCAGAGAGACACAGACACACATGCAGATGCTGCCTGATCCTCCGCGGGCTGCCCCAGGCCGCTCCCCACCCGCCAGGACGGGCGGTAGGACCAGCAGGGCCGTCCTCGTCCTCGAGTGAAACAGTGTCAACGGTGGGGCCTCCAGCCCACCACCGGGGCCCCTGCGCTCACCCCCAGGACTCCTGCCCCGCAGTTGGGAGGAAGCCGGTGGTAAGGGTGGCCTCCACAGTGTCCCCTGGGCGCCCACGAGAGGACAGGGGAGCCGGGGGGGTGGCACAGACAGCCTCTAGTGAAACACCCGACACCGAGGCACTCCCGGCTGCAGCCCCAGGGTCAGAGCCCAGCGGCCTCAACCCCTCGCAGGGCCAGGAAAGCAACAGCTGACTCATGCCCACCCTGCCAACGCAGGAGAGTTCAGACGAGGTTGGAGGTGTGCTTTCTGGTGGGGAAGTGAGGGGATTACGAGCAATCAAAGGAGAAACCAGAAACGGCCACAGGAAGCCGGGCCCAGATGGAAGACTTCAGGGCAGAAGGGGCCTTCGGGGATCATGGGGTCCACCCCGGCACGCAGCCGAGGGCAGAGGCTGGGCCACAGGGCTGCTTGGAGACCCGCGGTCTCTGCCGACCTGCTGTCCGACTCCAGCACAGGGAGCCCTGGGGGTGCCCAGGGCAGCGCATCAGGACGGCCGACAGGGCATCTTCCCTCAAGGTAGAATAGTCGGAAGAGAGAGTTTGGAGAGTTTAAAGGAGCGTTTAAAAAGAAGTTACTATAAAAAGGACAGGGCTTCCCTGGTGGCGCAGTGGTTGGGAGTCCCCCTGCCGATGCAGGGGACACGGGTTCGTGCCCCGGTCCGGGAAGGTCCCACATGCCGTGGAGCGGCTGGGCCCGTGGGCCATGGCCGCTGGGCCTGCGCATCTGGGGCCTGTGCTCCGCAACGGGAGAGGCCACAGTGGTGAGAGGCCCGCGTACCGCAAAAAAAAAAAAAAGGACAGAGTTTGGGACAGATGCCCACCCTCCCTCTGAGGCTGGAGCGGCAAAGGACAGTCACGCCTCCTCCCACACTGTCCTTGGCGGTGCTAGGAGAGACAACACCTGCCCGGCTGCGCCTGGCTTGCACGCTAGACCGCTTCTCAGGCTACAAGGGGACTTCCCTCGTGGTCCAGTGGGTAAGACCCTGGGCTCCCATCACAGGGGGCCCAGGTTCGATCCCTGGTCGGGGAACTAGATCCCACGTGCATACCGCAACTCAGACCCGGCACAGCCGAAACAAACAAGCGAATAAATAAATAAATATTTTTTTTAAAAAAGCTTCCTCTTCCCAGAGCCCGTGCTCCATAACAAGAGAAGCCACCGCAATGAGAAGCCCGCGCACCACAACGAAGAGTAGCCCCTGCTCGCCGCAACTAGAGAAAGCCCACATGCAGCAACGAACACCCAACACAGCCAAAAATAATTAAATTAAAAAGAAAAAGCTTCCTCAAAAATAAATCATAAAAATAAGTTACAAAATTACATGTATTACTGTATCTTTGTTGAAAGACAACCGTTTTTAAAGAGTAAAAGCATAACTCCTACAAATATAAAGTGAACCCACGTCAAAGATTTAACTCACAGACTTCCCTGGTGACGCAGTGGTTAAGAATCCGCCTGCCAATGCAGGGGACACGGGTTCGAGCCCTGGTCTGGGAAGATCCCACATGCCGCAGAGCAGCTAAGCCCGTGTGCCACAACTACTGAGCCTGTGCTCTAGAGCCCGCAAGCCACAGCTACTGAAGCCCGCGTGCCTAGAGCCCGTGCTCCGCAACAAGAGAAGCCACTGCAATGAGAAGCCCACGCACTGCAACGAAGAGTAGCCCCTGCTCGCTGCAACTAGAGAAAGTCCGTGCACAGCAACAAAGACCCAACGCAGCCAAAAATCAATAAATTAATTAAAATAAATTTAAAAAAAAGATTTAACTCATTAACTAATGAGGGAACCAATAGGATGTTAGAAACCAGCTCAAGGGACGAAGAGCAGACACACAGCAGCCCCGGGAACCAGACGAATTTGACAACAGATGCTTTCACGGAGGTGGGTGGGGCGCCTGAGGGAAGGAGCAGCAGGGACAGAACACCTCCAAGGACAAAACCCAGAGCCATCAAACAGGGAGCAGCAGGTGCAGACACCACATCCCAGGAAGGAGAGGCTGCCACTGCCCATGTCCCGCAGGACGGCCAGGAACCCGCCTTCTCCCAACACTGGCAGCAGCGCCCCGCTGGCCCTAGCAGCCGTGGGCAGCTCTCCTGGCTCCTGACCATGGGGACCCGCCTGGGATCCCGGAGGCCACGAGACCAGAGACCGGGGACGCCGCCCACAGTGCTCTGGGAACGCATCCTGCAAAGGGCCCCCTCCCCTCTTGCCCCAGAGAAGACTAACAGACACCCCTGTCCACCCACCACAAGCCACACGCGGACTGCAGATGGGACTGGCTGACACATCCATCGGAACAAAGCGCCCACGAACTGGACTTGGTAAAACCTTCGTTCATCTCTCCTTCCTTCAGGGCCTTGAACTCTGACCCACCCCGTAGCCTGAGACAGGCTGTCCTGGGGTGATGCACCCCCTGATCCTCTGTCAGATCACACCACCTGCCCCTCCCACCCCTCTCTCCTAGCCTGGGCTGTCCCTCCCATGGAGCAAGCCCCTGCCACCTGCCTTTGGAGAGCTCCCAGGGCCCTGGGCCGGACCGCCCCCCGCAGTGGCCCTGGGGACACAAATCTCTCCTCACCTTGCTTTTGTTTGACACACTTGTGCTCTCTCCTCCCCGGTTCTGCATCTGCAGAGCATCTGACGTCAGTGACAGTGCAGAGCCATCGTCATCACTGGCTAAACCCAGCGCCCAGGACAGGAAGAAAAGGGATGCAAAACTGCATGGATTCTAACGATAAAATTCAGTATTTTGGGCTACTTGTAGCAAGTCCTTATGGCTGTGTGCCCAGAGAGCCCACCCCTAAGGCCACTCTCCTGGTCATGGGACACTCGGACGGCAGCCACACGAGGCCCAAGCTATTCCCAGGCCCTCCCTGTCCCGCCACTGCCTCCCCACCTCACAAGCTCCCAGGGGCACAGAGACACCAGGAAAGCAAGTCTCAGTTACTTCTGGGTCAGGAACCCCTCTGAGAAGCTGAGAGCTACAGATGTACCCACATCCCCACGTTTTCCAACATCTGTAAGGGATGCCCCTGTGGGCCCCAGCTACCAAGCTGGCACAGGGTCAGGCACTGAGTAAAGAGTTGATAGGGCTTCCCTGGTGGTGCAGTGGTTAAGAACCTGCCTGCCAGTGCAGGGGACACGGGTTTGAGCCCTGGTCCAGGAAGATCCCACATGCTGTGGAGCAGCTAAGCCCACAAGCCACAACTACTGAGCCCACACGCCTAGAGTCCGCGCACCACAATGAAGACCCAATGCAGCCAAAATTAATTAATTAATTAATTAAAAAAAAAATGAATCCCACTTTGATAATGGCAACACAACGAGAAAACCACATGTAAATAAACTTTAAAAAAAAAAAAAAAAAGAGTTGATAGATGGGCAACAGGTTGGCCGCTGATGGACCCAGCAGAAGACAGCCGGGACGAAGAACACAGGACGGCTGCACACAACCGTGACACTCATCCACCCACAGCTGAGTGCGGGGGCGGGTGAAGCTGAGGACAGCATGTCGCCCCCTGCCATGCTCCACCTATGCCCCCCACCGCCCGTCCCAAACCACAAGTAAACCTACTTCTCAGCACCGGTAGATCCACGCTTGGGTCCCCGCCCCACACACCAGGGTCGTGGGTCCAGAAGCACTGGGCAGGCCGAGTGACGCCAGGCCGCGCGAGCAGCAGGGCAGAGGCCCCACAACCGAGGCCAGCCTTCGTCCCGACGCTCCCAGCCCCAACTGCCCCACTCCCAGTTTCTTTTCCTCCCGACACTTCCTTTGGTCCCTTCTGGACTCTAGGACATTCCCCAGCACATTTCAACACGCACTTCCTCAAAGTCAGAGGAGAAACTGTCCACGGTCACTTGGCGCTTCCTCCCCGCTCTGAGCTCCCTCCGCCTCTAGGGCCTTCTTTGGCTGCTCAGATGGCAAACTGGGGGCGTGTTTCTGGAAGGCACCCCGCCATCCTTCTAACACAAGAACGAAACTTCTGTTACAGGAAGGAGTGCCACGCTGATCCCAGCACTCCCACCCACACTGATCGCTTTCCCGAGAGCCCCCAGACAGGCGGGCAGGGCCCCAGACGCACCTCAACACCAGACCCGCAAAGAAAGACAACACATGCAGTACAACCTGCAAAACAATCATTCCAGCAAAGAGCAAGGGGCCCTGAAGGGTGCTGGCAGGGGGGACCCAGAGGTTAACTGAAGAGCAGCTCGCGGGCTGCAGGGGAAAACTGCACATCGTCCAGAGGGGTGTTCTCCCGCACATACGGTCCCTAAGGAGGTGGACATATCCCTGCTGTGAGCATTTCATGGGGGAATCAATCAGGGGAAAAAATGTCTAAAGAGGGTCCTCGGAGGACAAAAGTGGAAAAAGACTGACACTCTGACCTGGCCTCGAGGACACGCTTGGTGAAGTGGAGATGCTGCGGACACAGTATGTCCCTGTCCCGGCTCCCCTCCCCCGGCGTGGAACAGACCAACTCGCCTCTAACTCCTGCCCTCACCTGCCTCCTTCCAGGTCAGGCTGTGCGGTTCTGACTTCTCTTTGAACCCTGATAACACCTGCCCGGCTCCCTCACTGATGCAGTTAAAAGAGCTCCGGAACATGCATTCACTTAGGAGAACGAGAGTCGTGATATTACCTTTCTTCTCTTTAATCACCTTTTAACAGCACTAACCAAGGAGACCACACGAGAAAAGGTATGTTCTGTGATTTCAAACACTGCAAACGCCAGGAAGAAAAATGCAGAAGAGAAAGAGCACAGACAGGGCGACCAGAAACCCAAGAGGAAGGGAGGACGTGGCCTGGGCCAGCTCAGTGACCCGCCTGCGCGCCAACATCTCGCCCTCTGTGCACTGGCCTGCAGGGACTCGGTGACCAGGAGATGGGAGGAAAGGGCAGCCCTGGCAGGACGGCGCTGAGACCTCCCCGCGGCTGGCCCAACCGCCCCTCCGAGCTTTGGGCGCTTCACCGCCAGTGCCCTGAAAACACCTGATCGCATCCCCTCACTTCGCCCCCCCTGCAAAAAAACGTGCCGCCTGCAACCGTCATTCTACGGGGAGGAAGGAAAAGTGGTCAATCGGAACGCTGGAAGGAGATGCAACTTAAAGCATTTTCAAAAATCGTGCTACTGGGCTTCCCTGGTGGCGCAGTGGTTGAGAGTCCGCCTGCCGATGCAGGGGACACGGGTTCGTGCCCCGGTCCGGGAAGATCCCACATGCCGCGGAGCGGCTGGGCCCGTGAGCCATGGCCGCTGAGCCTGCGCGTCCGGAGCCTGTGCTCCGCAACGGGAGAGGCCACAACAGTGAGAGGCCCGCGTAAAAAAAATAAATCGTGCTACTTTTATGTCTCTGGGACGTCTGTGATTTACAGGAATGCGGTAGGTTTTTCCGCCTGGCTTAGCATAGCTGAGAATAACCGGCTTATGGGATCCAGTCCAAACCCTGTGGCACAGCACAGCACAAAAAGGCCTTCAGAGGTTCCGCCCCCACCCCACCCACGGGAGAGCTCACGCCCCACCCCGCCCCTCATCTCTGGGCGCAGGTGCAGCTCCCCAGGCAGGACGCCCTCCACACGCCCCACCTGGACACGCGTACTCACCCCCAAGACTCCCTCAGACACCACCGCCAGGCAATCCACACAGCGAGAGTCCCCTGCACAGAGCGCTGATTATAAATAAACAAACACGAGACTCCTCTCCTCCCTCGCGGGAGGGAGTCGCAACTGTATCAAAGGTTCCAGCCCAGCAGCTCGACCTATGGATGTGGCGGAATCCACAGATGACCTCGCAGCTGGGCAAAGCCCGGGTCGTATCAGGAAGGGAGATATGTGAGGGGTCACAGAAACCTCGGGGGGCAGTTTCTTAAGAGCGGGGTAGACTGGGCGCCCCGCGAAAGGGAACCAGGCCAGGCAGAGTACCCGTGGCCCGGGAGGGGTGGACCCCGGGGGCTCCGCTAGGGCGCGGGGCAGGCGTCCCGAGGGCGGCCGGGTTTGGGGGTGGGGAGGACACAGGGGCCGGAGGAGGCAGTTCCGGGGCCGGGGTGCGCGGGGAGCGGAGAGCGGGTCGGGCTGCGGAGGGGCGTCGGGGAGGTGGGGCGGGCCCGGGGAGCCGACGCGGGACGCGGACGCCGGGAGGCTCGGGGGCACGGGGAGGGGACAGGGGGAGCGGATCCGGTCCCGGGGCTGACGGGCGTCCGCGACCTACCTCCTTGTCCGGGACCCACTGCGGCTCCTCCAGGCCGAACGGGCTGCCGAAGGCGCGGTGCTCTGGCACCATACGCAGGCCGCTGGGGGAGCGCACCAGCTTCTTGGCGTCGCGGCGCGCGGCCACCTCGGAGGACATGACGCCGCCCCAGCGCTCGCCCGCCGCCCGCAACCGGACCCTAGCCCCCCGGGAGCCCCGCCCCGCCCCGCCCCGCCCCGCCCCGCCAGCGCGACTGACAGCGCCTCCGCCCAATAGCCACGCCAACCACGGAGCGCGGACCAATCGGCGCCAGATGTCCGTCCCGTCGCTGCGCTCTCCAATTGGCGCAAGGGTACCTCCCCTGCCACCCTGCGGTCGGCCACCAATAGGCAGTGAGGGCCGGCCCGAGCACGCTCCGCCCCCTCAGGGCTATTGAGACTTTGGATTGGCCAATTAGTCGGCAACGTGGGCGCCGCTTCCTCTCTGATTGGCGTATCCGGCGCGAGGCGCCCGGCGCTCATTGGAAGAGTAGGCTGCGAAGGGTAGGATGGCGCGAAGAAGCCTGTGGAGCGCGGGCTAGGTAAGTGCGAGGAGTAGTGGTTGCCGTGGTCCGGGGCGGGATGGAGGCAGGGGTGGCCTTGGGCACCGAGAGCGCAGCTCGGCGCCCGCGCGGCCCTCCTCCTGGGGCTTTGGGGGGACGGGGTCGCGCGTCATCGATGCCCCAAGCCGCGGTTCGCACCCGCGGGCGGGCGGGCAGAAGGCACAGCCGAGCGAGGGTCCGAGCGAGTCCCGGTGGCGGGAGGGAGCCCGGTGCCGGGGCCGCGCGGGCTGGCTAGCGGGGCTGGGACCGGAGGGCCCCTGTCCTGGGGCCGTCAGCCCGCACAGCTGCAGGGCCAGTTTGGGCTGTGGCAGCAGTCTAGGGGCCGTGGGGTGGGGCGGGAGAGGGTTGGGGGTGGACAACCTCGGAGATGCAGCGCCCGATGGGAAGAGCAGATGTGCGTAGGTGGCAGGGTGCGTCTGCAGGGCGCCCTGGTCCATCGGACGGCCAAGGCGGGGTCTGCCGGACACCCAGGTCTGGGGGAGTGGTGAGTGCTCAAAGCCTCAGGGGCTGAAGAGAGAAGAGATGCCCAGGGCAGAAGACGATCCTGAGAAGCGACGGGGGCCAGAAGTCCAGGCTGGCCAGTTCTGGAGAAACCACAGAGGTGGCCCAGCCGTGGGAGGACCTGTATGGCCACCCAAGGTCCCAGGTGAAAGCGTCCTCCCAGCAGCCCAGGATGAAGGAGTGCTCGTTGGCACCCTTTGTGGGAGTGCGAGCCGGAAAAGATGCCCATCCTTGAGAGTGGGCTGCTCCCAACAGGGCTGGACACCCCAGGGCAGGTCAGCCTCTGGATGACTGAGTTCTGCAGAGTATGGAGACCAAATGATTCCCTTTGGATTTGTTAACAGGTGGGCTGTGTAAACTCAGGGTCGGCCTAATTTGGGTCGGGGCTTAGAACACACAGCCTGGACCTGCATCGCAGGCCAGCCACTTGCTGGCTGCATGACCTTAAGCTTGTCGTTTAACCACTCTGTGCTTCTATTTTCTCACCAGCAAAACAGGGGTTATAATATTGCTCGTGTGATGTCTGAGTTCATACCTGTCACGTGCTTGGAAGAGACTAAGTGTTTGATAAAAGTCAGCCCTCGACCTTCCATTACCTTTGGTGATTTTAGGGCAACATCAGTGGAGCTGTATGTAGTTTGCCTGAATTTAGCTCCGAACTTGGCCAGAGAAAGAATTAACAGTTTCAGTGTGTGGGGATTGGGTCCTCCCACCCCGACCAACCCTCCGGGTGCTTTGGGTGGCTGTCTGGTTGAGCGGGAGAGGCCCTGAACACGTTTATTTTAGGGCATTAGTTTTTTTTTTTTTTTTTTTTAATTTATTTATTTATTTTTATTTTTTTCATTTCTATATTTATTTTTTTTAACATCTTTATTGGAGTATAATTGCTTTACAATGGTATGTTAGTTTCAGCTTCACAACAAAATGAATCAGTTATATATATACATATGTTCCCATATCTCTTCCCGCTTGCGTCTCCCTCCCTCCCACCCTCCCTATCCCACCCCTCCAGGCGGTCACAAAGCACCGAGCTGATCTCCCTGTGCTATGCGGCTGCTTCCCACTAGCTATCTACCTTACGTTTGTTAGTGTATATATGTCCATGCCTCTTTATCGCTTTGTCACCGTTTACCCTTCCCCCTCCCCATAGCCTCAAGTCCATTCTCTAGTAAGTCTGTGTCTTTATTCCTGTTTCACCCCTAGGTTTTTCATGACATTTTTTTTTTTTTAAATTCCATATATATGTGTTAGCATACGGTATTTGTCTCTCTCTTTCTGACTTACTTCACTCTGTATGACAGACTCTAGGTCTATCCACCTCATTACAAATAGCTCAATTTCGTCTCTTTTTATGGCTAATATTCCATTGTATATATGTGCCACATCTTTATCCATTCATCCGATGATGGACACTTAGGTTGTTTCCATCTCTGGGCTATTGTAAATAGAGCTGCAATGAACATTTTGGTACATGACTCTTTTTGAATTATGGTTTTCTCAGGGTATATGCCCAGTAGTGGGATTGCTGGGTCATATGGTAGTTCTATTTGTAGCTTTTTAAGGAACCTCCATACTGTTCTCCACAGTGGCTGTATCAATTTACATTCCCACCAACAGTGTAAGAGGGTTCCCTTTTCTCCACACCCTCTCCAGCATTTATTGTTTCTAGATTTTTTGATGATGGCCATTCTGACTGGTGTGAGATGATATCTCATTGTAGTTTTGATTTGCATTTCTCTAATGATTAGTGATGTTGAGCATCCTTTCATGTGTTTGTTGTCAGTCTGTATATCTTCTTTGGAGAAATGTCTATTTAGGTCTTCTGCCCATTTTTGGATTGGGTTGTTTGTTTTTTTTGATATTGAGCTGCATGTGTTGCTTGTATATTTTGGAGATTAATCCTTTGTCAGTTGCTTCGTTTGCAAATATTTTCTCCCATTCTGAGGGTTGTCTTTTCATCTTTTTTATGGTTTCCTTTTCTGCGCAAAAGCTTTTAAGTTTCATTAGGTCCCATTTGTTTATTTTTGTTTTTATTTCCATTTCTCTAGAAGGTGGGTCAAAAAGGATCTTGCTGTGATTTATGTCATAGAGTGTCCTGCCTATGTTTTCCTCTAAGACTTTGATAGTTTCTGGCCTTACATTTAGGTCTTTAATCGTTTTGAGCTTATTTTTGTGTATGGTGTTAGGGAGTGATGTAATCTCATACTTTTACACATACCCATCTAGTTTTCCCAGCACCACTTATTGAAGAGGCTGTCCTTTCTCTTCTGTACATTCCTGCCTCCTTTGTCAAAGATAAGGTGACCATATGTGCGTGGGTTTATCTCTGGGCTTTCTATCCTGTTCCATTGATCTATCTTTCTGTTTTTGTGCCACTACCATACCGTCTTGATAACTGTAGCTTTGTAGTATAGTCTGAAGTCAGGGAGCCTGATTCCTCCAGTTCCTTCTTTCGTTCTCAAGATTGCTTTGGCTATTCAGGGTCTTTTGTGTTTCCATACAAATTGCAAAATATTTTGTTCTAGTTCTGTGAAAAATGCCAGTGGTAGTTTGATAGGGATTGCATTGAATCTATAGATTGCTTTGGGTAGTAGAGTCATTTTTACAATGTTGATTCTTCCAATCCAAGAACATGGTATATCTCTCCATCTATTTGTATCATCTTTAATTTCTTTCATCAGTGTCTTATAATTTTCTGCATACAGATCTTTTGTCTCCTTAGGTAGGTTTATTCCTAGATATTTTATTCTTTTTGTTGCAATGGTAAATGGGAGTGTTTTCTTGATTTCACTTTCAGATTTTTCATCATTAGTATATAGGAATGCCAGAGATTTCTGTGCATTAATTTTGTATCCTGCCACTTTACCAAATTCATAGCTCTAGTAGTTTTCTGGTAGCATCTTTAGGGTTCTCTATGTATAGGATCATGTCATCTGCAAACAGTGACAGCTTTACTTCTTCTTTTCCAATTTGGATTCCTTTTATTTCCTTTTCTTCTCTGATTGCTGTGGCTAAAACTTCCAAAACTATGTTGAATAAGAGTGGTGAGAGTGGGCAACCTTGTCTTGTTCCTGATCTTAGTGGAAATGCTTTCAGTTTTTCACCATTGAGGATGATGTTTGCTGTGGGCTTGTCATATATGGCCTTTATTATGTTGAGGAAAGTTCCCTCTATGCCTACTTTCTGCAGGGTTTTTATCATAAATGGGTGTTGAATTTTGTCAAAAGCTTTCTCTGCATCTATTGAGATGATCATATGGTTTTTCTCCTTCAGTTTGTTAATATGGTTTATCACATTGATAGATTTGCGTATATTGAAGAATCCTTGCATTCCTGGAATAAACCCCACTTGATCATGGTGTATGATCCTTTTAATGTGCTGTTGGATTCTGTTTGCTAGTATTTTGTTGAGGATTTTTGCATCTATGTTCATCAGTGATATTGGCCTGTAGTTTTCTTTCTTTGTGACATCCTTGTCTGGTTTTGGTATCAAGGTGATGGTGGCCTCGTAGAAGGAATTTGGGAGTGTTCCTCCCTCTGCTATATTTTGGAAGAGTTTGAGAAGGATAGGTGTTAGCTCTTCTCTAAATGTTTGATAGAATTCGCCTGTGAAGCCATCTGGTCCTGGGCTTTTCTTTGTTGGAAGATTTTTAATCACAGTTTCAATTTCAGTGCTTGTGATTGGTCTGTTCATATTTTCTATTTCTTCCTGATTCAGTCTTGGCAGGTTGTGCATTTCTAAGAATTTGTCCATTTCTTCCAGATTGTCCATTTTATTGGCATAGAGTTGCTTGTAGAAATCTCTCATGATCTCTTTTATTTCTGCAGTGTCAGTTGTTACCTCTCCTTTTTCATTTCTAATTCTATTGATTTGAGTCTTCTCCCTTTTTTTCTTGATCAGTCTGGCTAGTGGTTTATCTATTTTGTTTATCTTCTCAAAGAACCAGCTTTTAGTTTTATTGATCTTTGCTATTGTTTCCTTCATTTCTTTTTCATTTATTTCTGATCTGATTTTTATGATTTCTTTCCTTCTGCTAGCTTTGGGGTTTTTTTGTTCTTCTTTCTCTAATTGCTTGAGGTGCAAGGTTAGGTTGTTTATTCGAGATGTTTCCTGCTTCTTAAGGTGGGCTTGTATTGCTATAAACTTCCCTCTTAGAACTGCTTTTGCTGCATCCCACAGGTTTTGGGTCGTTGTGTCTCCATTGTCATTTGTTTCTAGGTATTTTTTGATTTCCTCTTTGATTTCTTCAGTGATCACTTCATTATTAAGTAGTGTATTGTTTAGCCTCCATGTGTTTGTATTTTTTACAGATCTTTTCCTGTAATTGATATCTAGTCTCATGGCGTTGTGGTCAGAAAAGATACTTGATACAATTTCAATTTTCTTAAATTTACCAAGGCTTGATTTGTGACCCAAGATATGATCTATCCTGGAGAATGTTCCATGAGCACTTGAGAAAAATGTGTATTCTGTTGTTTTTGGATGGAATGTCCTATAAATATCAATTAACTCCATCTCATTTAATGTATCATTTAAAGCTTGTGTTTCCTTATTTATTTTCATTTTGGATGATCTGTCCATTGGTGAAAGTGGGGTGTTAAAGTCCCCTACTATGAATGTGTTACTGTCGATTTCCCCTTTTATGGTTGTCAGTATTTGCCTTATGTATTGAGGTGCACCTATGTTGGGTGCATAAATATTTACAATTGTTATATCTTCCTCTTGGATCGATCCCTTGATCATTATGTAGTGTCCTTCTTTGTCTCTTCTAATAGTCTTTGTTTTAAAGTCTATTTTGTCTGATATGAGAATTGCTACTCCAGCTTTCTTTTGGTTTCCATTTGCATGAAATACCTTTTTCCATCCCCTTACTTTCAGTCTGTATGTGTCTCTAGGTCTGAAGTGGGTCTCTTGTAGACAGCAAATATATGGGTCTTGTTTTTGTATCCATTCAGCCAATCTGTGTCTTTTGGTGGGAGCATTTAGTCCATTTACATTTAAGGTAATTATCGATATGTGTGTTCCTATTCCCATTTTCTTAATTGTTTTGGGTTCGTTATTGTAGGTCCTTTCCTTCTTTTGTGTTTCTTGCCTAGAGAAGTTCCTTTAGCAGTTGTTGTAGAGCTGGTTTGGTGGTGCTGAACTCTCTCAGCTTTTGCTTGTCTGTAAAGGTTTTAATTTCTCCATCAAATCTGAATGAGATCCTTGCTGGGTAGAGTAATCTTGGTTGCAGGTTTTTCTCCTTCAACACTTTCAATATGTCCTGCCACTCCCTTCTGGCTTGCAGAGTTTCTGCTGAAAGATCAGCTGTTAACCTTATGGGGATTCCCTTGTGTGTTCTTTGTTGTTTTTCCCTTGCTGCTTTTAATATGTTTTCTTTGTATTTAATTTTTGACAGTTTGATTAATATGTGTCTTGGCGTATTTCTCCTTGGATTTATCCTGTATGGGACTCTCTGTGCTTCCTGGACTTGATTAACTATTTCCTTTCCCATATTAAGGAAGTTTTCAACTATAATCTCTTCAAATATTTTCTCAGTCCCTTTCTTTTTCTCTTCTTCTTCTGGAACCCCTATAATTCGAATGTTGGTGCGTTTAATGTTGTCCCAGAGGTCTCTGAGACTGTCCTCAGTTCTTTTCATTCTTTTTTCTTTATTCTGCTCTGCAGTAGTTATTTCCACTGTTTTATCTTCCAGGTCACTTATCCGTTCTTCTGCCTCAGTTATTCTGCTATTGATCCCATCTAGAGTACTTTTAATTTCATTTATTGTGTTGTTCATCGTTGCTTGTTTCATCTTTAGTTCTTCTAGGTCCTTGTTAACTGATTCTTGCAATTTGTCCATTCTATTGTCCATTCTATCTCCAAGATTTCGGATCAACCTTACTATCATTACTCTGAATTCTTTTTCAGGTAGACTGCCTATTTCCTCTTCATTTGTTAGGTCTGGTGGGTTTTTATCTTGCTCCTTCATCTGCTGTGTGTTTTTCTGTCTTTTCATATTGCTTATCTTACTGTGTTTGGGGTCTCCTTTTTTTTTGCAGGCTGAAGGTTCGTAGTTCCTGTTGTTTTTTGTGTCTGTCCCCAGTGGCTAAGGTTGGTTCAGTGGGTTGTGTAGGCTTCCTGGTGGAGGGTACTAGTGCCTGTGTTCTGGTGTATGAGGCTGGATCTTGTCTTTCTGGTGGGCAGGTCCACGTCTGGTGGTGTGTTTTGGGGTGTCTGTAGACTTACTATGATTTTGGGCAGCCTCTCTGCTAATGGGTGGGGTTGTGTTCCTGTCTTGCTAGTTGCTTGGCATAGGATGTCCAGCACTGTAGCTTGCTGGTCGTTGAGTGAAGCTGGGTGCTGGCGTTGAGATGGAGATCTCTCGGAGATTTTCGCCGTTTGATATTATGTGCAGCTGGGAGGCCTCTTGTGGGCCAGTGTCCTGAAGTTGGCTCTCCCACCTCAGAGGCACAGCACTGACTCCTGGCTGCAGCACCAAGAGCCTTTCATCCACACGGCTCCTTAATTTGGGATGATTCGTTGTCTATTCAGGTATTCCACAGATGCAGGGTATATCAAGTTGATTGTGGAGCTTTAATCCGAGGCTGCTGGGAGAGATTTCCCTTTCTCTTCTTTGTTCTCACAGTTCCCAGGGGCTCAGCTTTGGATTTGGCCCCGCCTGTGCGTGTAGGTCGCTGGAGGGCGTCTGTTCTTTGCTCAGACAGGACGGGGTTAAAGGAGCCACTGATTCGGAGGCTCTGGCTCACCCAGGCCGGGGGGTAGGGAGGGTCACGGAGTGCGGGGCGGGCCTGCAGCGGCAGAGGCCGGCGTGACGCTGCAGCCTGAGGCGCGCCGTGCGCTCTCCCGGGGGAGCCGTCCCTGGATCCCGGGACCCTGGCAGTGGCGGGCTGCACAGGCTCCCCGGAAGGGCGTGTGGCCAGCGACCTCTGTTCGCACACAGGCCTCCTGGCGGCGGCAGCAGCGGCCTTAGCGTCCCATGTCCGTCTCTGGGCTCCGCACTCTTAGCCGCGGCTCGCGCCCGTCCCTGGAGCTCTCTCAAGCAGTGTTCTTAATCCCCTCTCCTCGCGCACCAGGAAACAAAGAGGGACGTAAAAGTCTCTTGCCTCTTCGGCAGGTCCAGACCCCTCCCCGGACTCTCTCCCGGCCAGCCGCGGGGCACCAACGCCCTGCAGGCTGTGTTCACGCCGCCAACCTCAGTCCTCTCCCGGCGCTCCGACAAAAGCCCGAGCCTCAGCTCCCAGTCCCGCCCGCCCCGGCGGGCGAGCAGACAAGCCTCTCGGCTGGTGAGTGCCGGTCGGCCCGATCCTCTGCGCTGGAATCTGTCCGCTTTGCCCTCCGCACCCCCGCTGCTGTGCTCTCCTCCGCGGCTCCCAAGCTCCCCCACTCCGCCTCCCGAAGTCTCCACCCGCGAAGGGGCTTCCTAGTGTGTGGACACTTTTCCTCCTTCACAGCTCTCTCCTGCTGGTGCAGGACCCGTCCCTATCCTTTTGTCTCTGTTTAGTTTTTTCTTTTGCCCTAACCAGGTATGTGGGGGGTTCCTTGCCTTTTGGGAGGTCTGAGGTCTTCTGCCAGCGTTCAGTAGGTGCTCCGTAGGAGTTGTTCCACGCGTAGATGTATTTCTGGTGTATCTGTGGAGAGGAAGGTGATCTCCGCGTCTTACTCTTCCGCCATCTTCCCGGAAGTCCTCAGTGCATTAGTTTTGAAAGAAGATCTTCCCTCATTCTCCCCTTGAGTCCTTAGTTTGAGTCAACAAAAGCTGCCGGAAACCCGAGTGTTGCCCCCAGGGTGGAGGTGGGCCCATCTGCCGCGGCCCCGCCTTCCTGTCCCAGCGTTGGCGGCGTGGGGTCCTCAGGCCCCCTCAGAGCCCCAGAGCCCCAGAGATGCAGGAAAGCGATTCCACCTGGGAAGGCTCGGGGACGTAACTGGAGTTTCCTCAAAGCCTTGTGCTGGGCCCTAAGAGTTGATGCACCTTCACACAGCAAACAGCGCCCGCTGTCAGCTGTGCCCCTGAGACGGTACCTGCACTCGGATGCTCCTGGAAGGCCCCGCTCCGTCCAGGCCCACCCCGTGCCTGCTACTGGGTGCTGCCTGGGCACATGCTTGTCCCCGGTTGGAGAAGCACAGGCCTGGAGGGTGGCTGGCTCACCCGGGCCCTGCTCTTGGTCCGGCCCCTGGGCCAGTGTCGGGTACCCAGCGGGTGCTCCGCCAGTGGGCACTCTGCTTCTGGGGGCCCTACCCCCCATCACGGAAGCTTGAGGCCCTTCGGTTGGTGGTTACCCACTGGTTTTCCTGCCCCATGTCCAGCTGCTCGTCAGGATCCGAGCCTTATATACAGGCACCTCCCGGCTGTGTCCCCACGCAGGCTCCCTCCCCCCCCCCGTCATTCAGAATCCAGACCCCAGCCCACTCCCGCTTCAGGGCCCACGCCGGGGTAGGGGGGGGGGCGCTTTCCACACGTCCAGGGGAAGAACACACGCACTTCCTCTAGAATTTACAAACCCAGGTTGGTATTCTGTCCAGATGTCTGATGCTCGGGCGTCTTCCACACGGCCTCAGGGTGCACTCCTAGCTACTCAACATCCCCCAGCCGCCTTGCAGCTGGTACCGGGGCCCTGCACTCAGGCCGCCCTTCTGCTCTGATGTGCAGTCCTGAGGGCCTCGGTGTCTCCCCTCAGCCTCAGCAGTGTCTACTGTCAGCCCTGCCCTGAGCAGCTGGCCTGGGAGCCCCCTGCCCCCTACGCCAGCAGAACGTGGGAGCAGCCTGCTGGCCCGGAGACCCCCTGCCCGGGCTGTGGGCCCCAGAGCCTCGTGCTGCCCCCTCCCAGAAGCTGCTTCCAGAGGCTCCCTGAGCAGACCGCAGATGAGGGGGTGTACACGGCCTGGTTCTTTAAGCTTCCGGAGCAACCTGACACCATCCAGAGGCCCGGGCCTTGCTGCTGCTGCTGGACGCTGAGCCTGGCCTCTGCTGAGTGGCCACGGCCTTAGTGTTGCTGCCCTGCTGCATCCCCGGCTGTGCCGTCTTGGGTGGACACGCCGCTGGCTGCCCCTCCTGCCAGCGGGGAGGGCAGGCTGCAGGCCGGGCCAGACTCGGTGTCCGCTGTTCTCTGCTGGGGCAGCTCGGTGGTCACAGCGGTTCCGACCTCCTGGGCGTCCTCTGAGATCCACCACACGTGGCCTTTTCTGTTCTTTCCAGATCGCCGTGGAGACACACTTAAGGGAACTCACACCGGAGAACGCAAAGCAGGCTCCACTCGGGTGAGCCCGGCGCGCACGGGCCTCTGACTGTATCCGCCGCCGTCACCCCAGAGAGGTGGGTCAGGGCAGGGCGCCCCTGGCCTGGGGGGCGTGGGGCTGGGACACAAGCCGGTTTCTCCCGCCTTCTGCGGGGGATGAAGTGGGCTGACCTTCAGAATGTGAGGCGGGGGGTGGCTCTTCAGATGCATCTGTGTGTGGATTGAATCCTAGGTTCTGAGTTACCGAACAATTGCCCGGACAGAAGCGCCGCCTTGGACGTCTCTCAGTGCTGTCCCTGGTGCAGTGAAGCCTCTCCAGGCTCCGGGCTGACGGTGTGGCCCTGTCACAAAGGGAACCGCGCACCTGGGCTCCGCCACTCTGCTGCACTCAGCTCCCGGGCTGCTCGAGGGGACGACAAGCGCGTCAGAATTGTGTCCCTGGGAATCCGTCCATCTCTGTGGTCACCCCATTGAAAAAATGGACGTGGATCAGTTGGACCTGAATCCTAGAATTATTGCTGCAGTTAAGAAAGGTGCGTTTGCTGATGTTTATATAAAGTGATTGTGTAAAAGCATGAACGCACAGATATACACACCTCATGTAGAACAGGTTTACCAGGTTGCCTGTCCGAGCCTCGGGGACCCTCTGGTTACTGATCCCAAGACAGCTGGTCCTGATCAACGCCCTGATGCTGGAATGTGCCGCAGGTTTTTCAGTTGTGTGTGTTTTTAACTGAAAGGACTTCTTTTAAGTTAATTTCATTTTCATCAAAGCAGTACACACACAGTGTCTGAAAAGTGACACGGAACTACTTACCACTTAGGAGTCTTTTAGCAGCATTTTGTATTTATATCTGGGTTGCTGGCGAGTGTGCTTGTGTTGCTGTGTTTGATTTGTCTGTGTTATGAGTCCTCACAGGCCTCCTGTTTTGGGGGTGAGGGCAGGCTGGTGCCTGTGTGCCCCTACTTCCTCCACACCTCCCCCCCACAGTTGGAACACAGTTTGGGTCCCATTAGCCATCAGGGTTGTGACTAGAGACATAATGGCTGCCACTGAACCCAGGGTTATGACTGTTTCCTTTCTTGTACCGTCTCTGGTTTCTCCCCCCAGAGTTAGTGGTTGCCTCCTTTTTTCATGCACTGCATCTCCTCTGTACTTCTGATTATTCCCACGTCGCAGTAGGTCTGTCAGGCAGCAGTGACTCTTTTCTAAATGCTCAAAGGGTTGGCCAGCCCACCGAGTCTGCTGGCATCTGGGCGCGTCCATCCCCAGGCTGCACTGGCCCCTCCGCAGCCCGGCTGGTGCCCCGCACCCGCCCTCTGTTCTCTCTGCCTCCCGGGGTGTCTGTGAGGGACGCTTCGACATCAGGTGCTTGTGAGCAGGTGACAGGGGCCCTGAGTGAGCGCAGGGCTCGGCAGCAGGGTGCCCCCCTGCTCCTCCATCCTGAGAGCACAGCAGTAGTTTTGTTTTCCCCTTTCATTCAGTCTTTGTCTTTTAACTGAAGCACTCAGTGCATACGTATTTAAGGTAATTCCTGATAAATGTAGGTTTAACCCTCCCTTATTATGCTGCGCTGTTTGTCCTATTTTTTGTGTTGTTTTTCTTTTATGCTTTCTTCTGGATTGGTTGGATCTATTTTTAGCGTATTTTTTTCTTTCTACTCGTTTGAAAGTAATATGCTTATCTAAGCTCAAAATTGTTCATTTTCCTCATGAAACACCAGCTCCCTTGGGCCGTTCACCCTGTAACCCAGCCCTCCGCGGTACTGCCACCAGCATGCTGACTCTTCTTTTGTCTGTTCACCCCACTGGCCATCCCGTGGCCTGGGTGTTCCTTTGGATCCCTTCCTGCGGCTTCTCCCTCGTGCATGGTTCCCCCGACTCGGCCTGGGCCCTTCCCAGGCTGTGCACACACAGACCTGTCTTGGGAGATGTGTCCGGGCGGGCATGGGACCAGGCGGAGGCCGCTGCTCCCGGCACCAGGGAGAGGCCCAAGCATCCGGCTTCTGCAGCCAAGACGTGGGCCTCCCCAGGCCCCTTCCCTCCCGTCCCGTCACGGTCGCCCTCTATCTGGGGGTCCCTGCAACTTCAGGGAGCAGGTGGACTGGCCCCTGCCCACCAGGTCCCCAGAACTGGAGGATACCTGTTGTCCCTGCTGTGTCTGACCTTGTCTTGTAATTGATTCTATACCTTCAGCCAAACTGAGGTCAGTAAAGGAGGTTCTGCATCTTTCTGGACCAGACCTGCAGAGACTGACCCGCCTCTCCGGCCCCGACGTGCAGCGCTTACTGAAGGCGGCCTCCTCACACCTGCAAGGAGGCAGCGTCTGCACAGGTGCCCGGTGCCCTGGGGTCTGGCTGGAGGAGTGGGGCGTGGGGCTGAGCCCAGAGGCCACGGCGCTGCAGCCCGAGGGGCCTCCTGGCCCAGGGGCGGCTGTGCGGGACTGGGCTCACCTGTTGTTTCCCCGCACCCAGCGCTCCACCTGCTCCAGCAGGAGGAGCAGTTCCCTGAGCAGCACGAGCGCCTGAGCCTGGGCTGCCCCGTGCTGGACGGGCTCCTCCGCGGCGGGCTGCCCCTGGACGGCATCACCGAGCTGGCCGGACGCAGCTCCGCCGGGAAGACCCAGCTGGCACTGCAGCTCTGCCTGGCCGTGCAGCTCCCACGGCGACACGGAGGCCTGGGGGCCGGTGAGTGCGGCCACTTCGGGGGGCGGGCAGGGGTCCTGACCTGTCACCTCGCGGGCACCTGCCCTCAAGGCCAGAGGCTGCCCCTGGGGGCCGTTTTCCAGGGTTCCCGTCTCTGTCTTCACAACCGCTCTGCGATTCTTGCCTCAGGAGAGGAAGGTGGGCCAGGGACCCCTCAGTGGGAGGGAAAGTGCAGAGCCCCGGGGCCTGGCCGAGGGGGGACAGAGCCGGCCTGGGGTGACTCCGAGAGACATGTCCCCTGCAGAGGCTTGGCCCGCAGCCACTGTGACCGCATTAAATGTGGGGCCTGAGGCACATTTTCCTGAGAAAGTGATTTCCCAAATCAGGTCTGAAAGGCCCAATTTTGAAAAGAATGGCCAGGCGGCTCTGCACTTCAGAAAACGTGGAGCTCCCCCCCGCCAACCCTCAAACGCTGGGCCGCCTCGCCGCCAGCTTCTCGAAGCCCCTCTGTGGGCGGGCACCCCACTCATCTGTCCCAGTGAGACGCCCAATAGGGTGTGGGGCGAGGAGCTTCGAGGGCCGTGCGACTGGGTTTGGCTGTGACCCTTCTGTCCAGGCCTCTCCCAAGATGCGGAGAACACGGGTGCCGCGGCGTTGTGACGAGGGTCTCGGCCACGTCGGGGGCTCCCCAGGCAGCCCTGCCCCCGGGAATGGGCTGGAACGTGCCAGGGAAGGTTAGGGAGGCCTCAAGGGTCAGGAGCTCACCACTGACACGGTCAGACGGTGCTTCTCCCTCCATCCTGCATCTCTTTTCCAAGTTTGAAAGTCTGTTGAAACAGAATCGGGTCAAAATGAAAGTTACACACTCACAAATAGGGCACGCGGACGTGGTGTCAGTGCTTCTGGCTCTTCTCTGGGTCCCCTCCCCGGGGCGGTGCCGTGACCGGTACAGCGAGAGGAACGGTAGGTTTAGCCGTGGCCCTGAGAGTCCTGGTGGGGCTCAGCCAGCGCACCGCCAGATCACAGGCCTTTCTTATTTATTTATTTATTTTTGGCTGCGTTGGGTCTTCGTTGCTGCACGCAGGCTTTCTGCAGTTGTGGTGAGCGGGGGCTGCTCTTCACTGAGGTGCGCAGGCTTCTCATTGCGGTGGCCTCTCTTGTTGAGCATGGGCTCTAGGCGTGCGGGCTTCAGTAGTTGTGGCGCACGGGCTCAGTAGTTGTGGTTCGCGGGTTCTAGAGCTCAGGCTCAGCAGTTGTGGCGCACCGGCTCAGTAGTTGTGGTTTGCGGGCTCTAGAGCCCAGGCTCAGTAGTTGTGGCGCACGGGCTCAGTAGTTGTGGTTCGCGGGCTCTAGAGCACAGGCTCAGTAGTTGTGGCGCACGGGCAATTAGTTGCTCCGCGGCACGTGGGATCTTCCTGGACCAGGGCTCGAACCTGTGTCCCCTGCATTGGCAGACGGATTCCTAACCACTGTGCCACCAGGGAAGTCCTGAGGCCTTTCCTCTTTCTTTAACTCAGTGGTTTTTAGCATTTTCACAAAGTTGTGCGCCCACCACTACTATCTAGTTCCAGAACATCTCATCACCCCAAAAAGAAGCCCCATCCCTATGAGCAGTCACTCCGCACTCTCCCCTCCCCCAGCCCCTGGCAACCACCCATCCGCTTCCTGTCTCTATGGATTCGCCTGTTCTGCACATTTCAAATAAACGGGATCATGCACATGTGCCCTTTCACCCAGGGTTCACCCACGCTGGAGCACGTGTCGGTGCTTCCTTCCTTTGCAGGGCTGAATAATGTTCCTTCACGTGTACAGACCACAACTTAGCGACCCTTTCATCCGCTGACAGTCATGTGGGTTGTTCACACCTCTTGTTCGTGCGTGGCTTCGGGTGGACACCTAGGAGTGGGATTGCTGGGTCGTATGGTAGCTGCGTGTTCCGCTCTTTGAGGAACTGCCAGACTGTTCTCAGCAGTGGCTACACCGTTTCACTTCCCATCAACGACACAGGAGGTTCCAGTCCCTCCACGTCTGAGCCGACGCTTGTCCCTCTGACGCCAGCGTGGGTGGCTTCTCACCGTGGCGCCGACCGCACCCCCGGTGGCCGGTGACGTTGGCCGTCTCTTCACGTGCTGCTGCTCATTTGTGTGTTTTTGGAGAAATGTCTGTTCCAATCTCTTGCCCATTTAAAAGCCTGGGTTATTTGCCTGTGGAGCTGTAGGAGATCTTTATATAATCTGGACACTAAACTCATCAGATAAACAATTTGCAGTATTTTCTCTATTCGGTTGTCTTCTCCCTCTCTTGTTGGTGTCCTTTAAAGCAGTTTTTCACTTTGATGATGTCCAATTTGTTTCTTGCTTGTGCTTCTGATGTCATGTCTGAGGACCCACTGCCTAACCCAAGGTCATAAGGTTTACCCATGTTTTCTTCTAAGAGTTTTGTGGTTTGGGCTCTCATATTTGATCCATTGTGATTTAGTTTTCCTATATGGTATGAGGTAAGGGTCTAATTTCATCCTTTTGCACGTGGGTGTCTCTGTCCCAGCGCCATTTGTTAAAAATACTCTTTCCCCACTGAATTGTCCTGGGGCCTTTGTTGAGAATCGGTGGCCCCTGGTTCTTTTCAGCGCAGGACTCCGGGGGTATCTTCTGGTGGGGATTCCAGGCCCCTGGTGATGCATCGCCTGTGTTTTGTTTACTGGCTTTTCCAGGCGCAGCAAAGACAGTTACCACCAGGTAGCCCAGACCCATAGGAGGAGCCTTGACAGTGGAATTGAGGGAACATCCGCCCAACAGGGCCTGGGAGGGGCATCTCCCTGTGTCTGCAGGAGGGGGCGTTTCCGAAAGCCGGGAGCCCCTACAGTTCCCCTCGCTCCCACTCGGACAGCCCAGGGTAGGCAGACCCACAGGGTGAAGTTCCGGCAGCGAGGGGCCTGCGCTGGGAGGTGGGCGCCGGCCGGCCCCCATGCTGGGTCAGAGGGGCAGACCCACGAGAGGCAGTGCAGGAAGGAGAGGGTCGTTGGCCTTTGGCGGGGCGGCCTCAGGCCACCCCCAGCTGCTCACCGCCCTGCGGCTTCCCAGGGGCCATTTACGTGTGCACAGAGGACGCCTTCCCCAGCCAGCGTCTGCAGCAGCTCATCGCTCAGCAGCAGCGCCTGCGGATAGATGTCCCAGGGGACGTGCTCAGGAAAATCAAGTTTGGCCACCAGATCTTCATCGAGCACGCAGCCGACGTGGTAAGCGTCTGAGGGGAAGCCGGCCGTGCGGGCGGGCCACGTGCACGACCCGCGAGGTCAGGCCCCGGTGCCCACCTGCGGCGAGTCGCCTGCTGGGGGCCGTGTGCTCCGCTCAGGCTGGCACTACTCGTTACCTGGACTCAGGCTGAACTGAGCGTCCAGTGTGTTTCTGGCAGCCTAACCCCAAGGGAAGAGCGGGCAAGGGAGGGCACCGGACACGCCACCTCCTGCCCCCTAGAGGAGGCCCCGGCAGGGCACAGAGGTGCCCGCGGCCCAGAGGACGGGACCCGCCGTCCAGGCCACTGGCCCGGCAGCAGCCGTGGTGTAGGGTTGTACCTCTGCCTCTGAAGGAGGGGAAAGCCCCCTTGTCGAGCCCCCCCCACCCCGATTGCTGAGCACGCCTGGCAGGGCCGCTGGGGCGACACCACACCTGGAAGCCATCCCCGGGTCACGCGCCCTCCCCGTGGGCAGACAGCGGTGGGAACACAGAGGGCAGTGGCCCCTGGGGAGGGGGCAGGGGCAGGCAAGCGGCCGGGGAGCAGCCAGCTGAGGTCATTGTTTGGGGCTGAATAACGAAGCAAAGGCTTCAGGAGGGAGATGGGAGACGGAGTACAGACCAGTGCACCGAACACAAGTGTGCAGAGCCACCCACCCAGGCCCTTCCCCCATTTAAGAACTGCTATAAAAAGAATTTCCGGTAAAGGATGAGCTGTATAAACTTTTAATTTTAAAAAATTTTACCGTAAAATACATGATCACACATAGCACGGGGAAGTGACACGATGAGCGGTGGCACGCGAGCCCGGGCTGGTTCAGGGCACGGGCGGCCCGGGGTGGACCGGCGGCAGGTGGCCGTCCCCTAGGGGCCCAGCGCGGCCGTGGCTTTGCAGGTGAGTGCGCGCTGGCGGCGGGCAGCGCGGTTATTAGCGTGACGGTGCTCAGGGCGTGGACACAGGAGAAGACGAGGTCAGTGCTACAGGCTCCGGCTCCAGGCCCTCCAGCCTCGCGACCGTCCCCTGGCTGTCACAGGGCCCTCTGGACGCACACAAGCAGCACAATCCTCATCCTTCCGGTGCATCCTCACTGAGAAACGCAGCAGTGGGTCAGGGCCAGGCCGACCGAGACCCCGGCGGGGGGTGGGGGCACATTCCTAAGTTCTGTTCCGGGAGCAGCTCTGGTGGAGGAGGCCCCCAGCCCCTCGCTGGTGTCTGCCCAGCAACTGGGGGGCCCTGCCGGGGGGAGGCGGGAGGTGCGGACCAGGGCCTGATGCTGCTGCACAAACGGAGCCTCGGGGTCCCAGGCCTCCTCCCGGGGGACGGGGTCTCCAAGCTAGGCCCCTCTCGAAGTGCCGACGCTGCAGCAGGCGGGTGCAGCCCTGCCCCCGCCCCCGGCCCCCCGGTGCCCCAGCGCTGCCTGAGGTGGCGGGAAGGGGTGCAGGACTCACGTTAAGGCTGGCGTCCTCCAGGCCGCTGCTGCTGCTGTCGTTTTCCACAGCGAGGGGCTCCGCTGGAGACAGCCTGGAGAGGTAACAAGCACAGAGTCGAATTTCATCCCAGACACCCAGCAGCTCTCAGGAGTGCCTGACGGGATGGCCAGTGTGTGGCCACTGGGCACCAGGGCCGAGTCCAGGCCGGCAGGGCCAGGCGGCCCCAAGGGACAGGGCTGCCCCGAGCACAATGCGTAGGGCCTTGGGGGGCAGGTGGGGCTGGCCTGGAGGCACCTGAGGCCCCACGCCGGGCCGGCTGGCGTCCTAGCACACAGCCTGGGCGCGGCCCGGGGGTCTTCACGTGGGAGGCAACGCTGGTGGCGGGACAGACTCAGGTCCCCGCACACCTGCTTCCTCCCTCCACTGGGTGGGGCTGGGCAGTCCTGGTGACCGTGGTGGTCCGGGTGGTCGGTGCCCAGCACGGGGCCACTGAAGGGGAGGGGCCCGGCCACTGTGATGGCCCAGGACGGGGCGTGGTGAGGGGCCCCCCCCGCGGGGGTGGTGACGGCCACCTCCCCTCGGCTTCCAGGACACCCTGCTGGAGTGCGTGCGTAAGAAGGTGCCTGTGCTGCTGTCGCGGGGTATGGCCCGCCTGGTGGTCATCGACTCCGTGGCAGCCCCGTTCCGTTGTGAGTTTGACCAGGCGGCCTCGGCCCTCAGGGCCCGGCATCTGCAGGCGCTGGGGGCCGAGCTGCGCCGGCTGAGCTGCACCTTCCGGAGCCCCGTGCTGTGCATCAACCAGGTGGGCCCCCCTCCACCCATGGGGAGGGCGAGGCCGGGGGGGCCGGGTCCTCACCGCCACTGACCCCGATCTGGACCCTCCAGGTGACGGAATCCACAGAGGAGCGGGGTGTGGCAGCCGGGCCGCCGGGGTGAGTGGGGCGCCCCGAGGGCAGGGGTGGCGGGGCCCGCAGATCCACACACAGCACAGGACAGTCGGGCTGTTTTCTGTCTCAGTGTCGGGGGAGAGCGGGCTTCTCCGGCCCTGGGCATAACCTGGTCCAACCAGCTCCTGGTGAGGCTGATGGCCGACCGGCTGCGCCCTGAGGAGGCCGCCTCCGCCGCGCCCCGCCGCACCCTGAGGGTGCTCTCCGCCCCCCACCTGCCGCCTTCGTCCTGTTCCTACACGGTCACCGCCGAGGGTGTGCGGGGGACACCTGGGACTGAGTCCTGCTGACGTGTGGCCCTCCCTCTGGTTAGGGTCCCCTCAGGTACCAGGGGCTGCAGGAAGCGCCCAGAATCCACAGCCTGCCCCCACCCCCACCGGCTGCTGCAGCGTCTCTACAATAAGCAGCAGCTTCCTCCCCCTGGGCCCACGTTAGCTCCCGCCCGGATGCAGGCCCCTGGGCCCCGGCCAGACAGGGCCTCCACCTTGACCCCCACAGGCTCCGCATCCCCTTCCCAAAGCTCCCAACACCCACGCCTCGGGCCACAGCGGGGCCGAGGTCAGACGAGTGCCCACTGGCCCTCCTCACCCCGTGGTTGGGCTGTCGGCTCCTGGCCGCCAGCACACCCCCTGGCCCCGGTCTGGCACAGGGTGGAGAACACACGGCAGGCCAGGCCGCAGGGTCCGGGAGAGGCATCGGGGCCGGGGGAGGTGCCTTGTGCGCTGCCCCTGCCACCAGCCCCCCAGCCCGCAGCGAGCGCTAGCAGCCTCGGCGCCGGCTTGGCCCATCTGCCGGGAAATCCGTTCTGGGCAGACGAGAACTATTCTAAAGGGAGAGCACATCCCGCTGTGCCCTCAGTGCCTCCTCCAAGGCTGGCCACAGTGGCCGGGACCGTCAGCCCTGGCCTGGGGGCGCATCCACTCTGGCAGGGCGCTCCTGCACTGTGCATAGAACTCGGGACCTCCCATCAGCCGGGGTCCTGCTGCATCGGGCCAGAAACTCCAGAATCTGAGCATCTGGTCGTGGCAGCACAAGGCCCCACGGTCACCAAGGGACGTGACTGCCCAGTTCCGGCAGGGCTGCGCCGCCTTCACCCCCATCATCACCCTGCCTCTGCCCCCTCCCCGCTGCTGCCCGGCACAGAGCAGCCCCGGCCGGACAGACGTGCCGGGAAGGCACTTGCAGCCCCTGGACCCTCACCAGCGCTTGCTCTTTGCCAGGCACTGTCCTCAGGACTCATACACGTGACGTCTGTCCTCACAGCCTGGGGCAGCCCTGTCACTGCACTTTCAGCGCCCTGGCCACCCTCCCACAGCTCCAGGAGCTAGACACTGGTCCCAAGCTCCCACGGGCTCACTGGGGCGGGGCGGTAAACCCGTCACGGGGCACACGCTTTGTGCACGTCATTCTAGGACTGGATGATCCAGTTACAACTTTCATCATGTTTTCAAAGTAGTCTGTGACCCTAAAAAGACTGGGTGCCTAACGTTAAACAGGAAAGGGTTCTTTTAGGGTTGGAGTTTTACAAGAGAGCCTTTCCACAAAAGTACAGGGGCTTTACAACAGGAAATAAAACACTTTATTTTTGTAAGTAAATATAAACAGTTTCAAATGATTTCCTAGGCAAGTCACACCAACAGTGAGAAAAGAAAACTACTGCTCCAAGACAGAAGGTATGTTTCGTGGCCAACCCCCTGCAGAGGTGCGGACCAGCACAAGCGCACCCACATTCGGCCTCTGGGCAGCCGCACCCGCCCACCAGGCAGACAGGCCGCCCTGGGGGTGCTCACCCACCAGGGGCCATAGAACTTGGCAGTGGGGTTTTCTCTCTGTGTCTCAGGAACACCAAGCCCCAAAGCAGTGTCCACCCTACCTCCCTGGCCTCTCAGCCAATCCCATCCCCCAGAGCACACCCCAGGGACAATCGGACGGTCCTCACAGGCCTGTGACCCCCGAGGGGTAGCTGCACACCACTGTATACACCATCTGAGTCCTCCTGTCGTGGTGGAGAACTCAGTGGAAGCCGCACAGGTCTTTACGCATCAGCCCGATTGCACGGAGAAGACGTGTGCAGGACGATGCTCGCTTAGCTCACTTGAACTTCACCTTTGGTTGGTGCTATCCAGTGCTGCTTTAGTTTCCAGATATCCCATGATTACACAGTACAACGTCTAAACATACCAAAAGTTGGCCTCGTACAGATGTAACATGCCTTCCCCAGAACATTCTATGAAGTTATAACAATGAGTGCTACAAACTAAACTCTGAATTCTTAGCAGTACTTATACTTTACTGTAAAGGCAATAACTAATTACATGATACTCCTAGCAGCCTCCTGACCAAACAAATAATAGGGACTTTTTTTAAGTTTCAGAAAATAACTACCTGAATCCCTGCAGCACCAGAAGTGCCTGCTCCGCCTGGGGAGGGGCGCAAGGGTCAGGAGGCCCAGCTCTCCACGACCTCAGCCCTCAGACACTCACGCAGACCCTCAGCTCCTCCACTGCCAGTCCGTCCTCTGACCAGGGGAGTCTAACTTGATAGACACAGCACAGTGTAGAAATGGGTGCTGGCCCCCTAGGGTCCCCTCACCAGGAAAGGAAGAGGGAGGGCTGGACCACCCCCACTGCTCTCTCCGAGAATGTTAAAATCCTGACTACCAGACTGCAAGTAGGTTACAACCTGGCTTCTCTCTATTTTGATACAAGTTCAAAAATCAGACACTGCCGAGTCCCAGGTAGCATCCCCTCTGAGACACGAAGGCTTTTACAACCCAGCTTCAGGAAGGCCCTCGAGCCTCTCTTACCCCGAATGCTGTCTCCATGTGGCCTTACAAAGGCCACCATAACCCTCGGGGAACCAGGGCCAGAGGGCTCAAAGCCAGACAAGGTTCAACTAAGGCCCCTGCAAAGAAGGTCTCTTTTCACCAACTGGAAGCTTAAAATTAAATCCTGTTCTTAGCCTCATGTTTATTCTTTCTAAATGCCCTTTGTTTTTCCAGAGACAACTGTCACTAAGGGAAACCGAGTGGGTTTCAGATGTCCTGTACCAGATCTGTGGCTGGGAGGAAACTTCAATGTAGTGGGAGGAGGAGCCAGGACAGCTTGGTCCCCTCCTGGTTCTGATGTGACACAGACACATCACCCCCACTGCACCTAAACGTGAACCTGAAAGGGCCACAGTGCCCACATGGGGACACAGCTCTGCTCTTTTTTCCAGTGGTTTCTTACAACCCATCATATTTTTTTAAACACCTCTAGAGAGCATTTTGAAAGTTCCTGATCCATCGGAAACTGCAAAACCTAAGGAGTCAGGAGCTGAGGAAAGGAGCGTGGCCAGAGGAGACAGGCTGCAGGAGACCGGTCAGCCTCGAGGGCCCCCAACACCGGGCCAGGGTGTCTGCCTCTGGGGGGGCACAGCAGCTCTCACCAACACAAGCACCAGTGCCCTGAGGTGATCCACTACTGAATTATAGAAACTTTTAAACAAAACTTAAGTTAAAGTCTAGCCTTGCTGTACCGAAACCCCAGGACGCTGCTGCCTCTAGCCCTCAGTCCGAGGTCCGCAGTGGGGGTGAAGGACACGTGCAGTCCAAGGGCACCCCACAGTGAGCACCCCCTAGTCCCCACAGGAAGCCCAGGGAGCACGTAGCACCCCAGCCCAGTGCAGTTGTTGAGGAAAAGGTGGCTGGAAGCGCCTTTGCTCAGTGACACCACCCATATGATAACATTAAGGTAAACTAGAAACTAACCCTGACAACATTTCACAAGGACGCTCACAGCTTTCCAGATCCTTTCAAACCTCCTCAGCAGGGATGTGCCCTTGTACAGTTGGCATCATCTGGAATTACACCTTCTTAGCCTACCAGCTAGTCTCACGGATTCCCTTAAGGAGTAATGTCTCAGGGTTGGTTTGAAAATGTATTTGTCAGGCCTTCCCTGGTGGTGCAGTGGTTAAGAATCCGCCTGCCAGTGCAGGGGGCACGGGTTCAATCCCTGGTCCGGGAACTGAGCCTGTGCTCTAGAGCCCGTGACCCACAACTACTGAGCCTGTGAGCCACAACTACTGAAGCCTGCACACCTAGGGCCCGTGCTCTGCAACAAGAGAAGCCCCCGCAATAAGAAGCCTGCACACCGCAACAAAGAGTAGCCCCCGCTCACCACAACTAGAGAAAAGCCTGTGCACGGCAACAAAGACCCAATGCAGCCAAAAATAAATTAAAAAAATAAAATAAGATGCATCTGTCAGAACCCACCCTGTGTTACTTAACGCTACAAAGAAAAGCTTTTTAAAAGGAACACATGCATCTCCGTGTGCTAGTGTACAGAGGCCTGGAGGAGGGAAAAGGGCTCCAAAGGGGCTGAGATGCAGACCAGGAGGGGGTGCAGGCCTCCCCGCAGCTACCCCATCTCCCCCGCTCCCTAATCCCAGCATCGCTGCCACAGGTCACTGGATTCCTAGTCTCAAAGGATGTAGTTTAAGGTTCCAGTCTTAATGAACAGCCTTAACACAGTATTACAATTGCAAGCAGGTTTCGGTGCTGGGGCTGGTGTCCATGAGCAGCGGCCGACCCCGAGTGCGCTGAGCCAGCTCCATACCTGGCCGGGTCCCGCCACCGGGCTTTGGCAGCTCTCGGGCACTAGGGCTGCAGACCGCCTAACAGAATTCGGGGCAAACCTCCAGCAGGTGGTGGAGGTCACCATCCAGAAAAGGAGGCGACCCCAGGGCCGCCCTGCAGGGGGGAGGGGCCTGGCCAAGCTTTGAGGGTCTCAGCGCTCATTAGCCTTGGGGGTTAATCTAGCTCTGCCTCGACCCGTGGGGGCCAGGTCGGCGTGGCTGGCACTGAGAGCTCTGGAGTCTGCCAGACAATTATTTCGTTCCTGCGTGAAAAAACAAATGGAAAAATTATTCTTAACCAGTACCTCACATGACGCCAGCTTCCAGTGGTCTCAGCACTAACAATAGCTGCACAACTCACATCAACACACGAGAGTCCTGATGCTCAGATGTGTGTGTGCAAAACACAAGAAAGGGGAGCAAAAGGACTGTGTTAGCTCCAGACCTTTTAAAAACAAAAGTAGTTTCTTCTATCGTCATCGTCAGGAGTGCATCCTCCCAGCACCCTGCAGCTTTTAAACTAGAGGCCCGATGACAGCATCCTGGGAACAGCCGCCCCCCGCAGCGTGCTGGGGGTGAGGGGGAAGGCCAGCACTCCTGCCGGTCCGTCACCGTCCCTGTGCGTCAAATAGTTTACCGGTGGGACTGAGTTGACTGGGAGAGCTGCTGCACCAACAGGTGTGGGGACCAGGACACCTGGTCCTGGTGGACAGCAGCCAGGCCACAGAAGGGGCCAGAGGCCTGGGCGCACCCAACAGTCACACATGGAAAATAAAAAGGCCATTTGTAATGGAGAACAGGATGCCAACAGTTTTAAGTGCAAAGGTGACCGGTCTGTGCGAGACTTGGACAGGTGACAAAGTGCTAAAGACTATTTGTCAAAGTGACTGTACTTAGTGAAGTTCTGAATAGTTTTAAAACACTGAACAGCTTAGCTAGACATTATATTAGTTATAAACTACTAGAAGCTAAAATCATACAAATAATACAAATTAACAACTGGCCAAGTTTTGATATTACTTCATCAGAATATTTAATTTTTAATTGTCAATCAACGTATTTGTAAAGATCATTAATTCGTACACTGAGAATGTTCACAACATTCCCATAATTCAGATGGTTAAGTTCATGCCGACTATGAAAGTGTCATTTATGGTGTCTATGTGTCCTGAATCAGGAACACTAAAATGCCCACAGGCTCTGCTGAAAGGGTAGCAGCGGTGGGGAAAGGCCAGCCAACATGTAAAGGGTGTAAGGGGGGCAGTCCCCACAGGCTCTGCTCAAAGGGCAGCAGTGGTGAGGAAGGTCCAGCCAACATGTAAAGCGTGTAAGTGGGGCAGGGCTCCTTACTTGGAAATGGTCTGCGGCCGCCGTGCCACCCACGTTAAGGACAGTCAGAGAACTGGCACGCTTCATGCTGCACCCAGGACGGCGGACATGCAAGGACAAACCGTCAGCACATCAGTCAACCAGGAGCAGAGAGCACAGCAAAGCCACCCCTCCAAAGCTTCTGTCACCATGGGGGCCTGGGACCATCCCTAACGGAGAGGAGACCTTTATCTCACCCAGACTGGGATACCCACTGGGATACACGTACAACCCAGATCTACTCTATTGCACCCAGCAGAAAAAAGCGAAGTTCCTCTGCGTCTTTCTCAGCAAAAAGTTTATCTTTGAGCCCCATAAAGCCAGTGTCGCTGCAGTTTCACTTGTTAAAACCTGGCTCCTATAGGAGCAGAGGGGCTCTGCCAATGCCACCCGCTGACTTCGGCGTGGGAGCCCGAGGAGCCTCCTGAGATGAGTTTCAGGAAGGGATCCTCAACGACTCCCGTAAACCTCGCCCCTAAGTGATCGCGTCAGAGAGAGACCCTCAAGGGACTTCCCTGGTGGCACAGTGGGTAAGACTCTGCGCTCCCGATGTAGGGGACCGGGGTTCCATCCCTGGTCGGAGAACTAGATCCCACATGCATGCCGCAACT